AGCACAGGGCTGGGGCTCAGGCCAGCGTCTGAATGCTCCGGTGTATCCCTAAACGCTCCATAAAGGAGGGCCGGCCCTTTGATTAGCGCTGTAAAGCCCGCGCTGCTGCGGGCCGGCATTTCCTGCCTCCCTGTGGGAGCAGATGTGGGTCAGGCTCCTCCTCGGCTCCGGGGGCAGTGGGGAAGGGATGCTGAGGCTGCGCGCCGCCCGGCCGCCCTCTGCCCACGCCGTCACCGTCACAGGAACAACTTTGGCTTTGAGGTGTAACAGCAAGAGCTAATTTTAACGCTCCCAACGCCCCACGCGCATCCCCACTCGCACGCATCTGGTGCTGCGACAGGGGAAGTGTTTGCTGCTTCCTGGCTCTCCAGCCTTGCTGGGCCCGGAACAGAGCGGGGTTGCCCCAAGAGCTTTACACATCAAAGCCCTCCTGTAGTCTTTAATCTTCCCCTAATACCTGGTCCCTCTGGAGCAAATAGCTGCCGGGGGGGAAGAGGAGTTTATTTTCCTGCCTTACCTTTGTCCCTCTGTCCTGCAGGTGCCAGTGTCTGAGTCTCTCTCGGTGTATGTGTGGTAACAACATGTCTGTCCCCCTCCTCGCTGACGCAGTGACTGTCTCAGGGGCAGAGCGGGAGACGGCCGCGGTAAGGACCAGGCCCCTCGTGTCGCACCAGCTTCTTCCCTTGTAGCAGGAGAAGATATCCTTGAGGATAAGGAGCTGCTTCCGCGGGGCTCGGAGGAGCCGGGAGCGGAGCCTGTAATCCCTCAGCATTTTGGATGTACATCTTGGTGCATCAGAGGGGATGCAGGACCAGCAAGGTCTCGTCTTGCTGGGGAAAAGGAACTGCTCTTTGGGCTGGACTCTTTGTTTCTGGTGCTTGGTCCAGCATGAGCTTAGCCTGCAGGGAGGTCACGGGGAGTCGGGTCTCATTTGTCTGTTTAAGCTCTTAAAAGCAAATCCCCAGAAAGACAATCCTCTGTCCATCCCTCTGCTCCCCGTGGCTTAGGGGTTGCCCAGGCCCATGGGGGGGGTGGGTTCTGTGAGTCCCTGGCAAGCTCCACTCTCCGTGGTGCCGTGCAGCGTGCGGGGTGCTCCATCGCTCCTTGGCCTCTGCTACAGGGGGCAGCCAGGGGGCCGGTGCCTCCCCCAGAGCTGGCTGTGAGAGCAGGCTCTGTGGCACAGACATGAGCCTGTTCCACCCATCCAGCATGCTCAAAGATGCCAAGACACGTCATTAGCGTCAGGTAACGTCTGCCCGTTCCAGTCTCTTCTAGTTAGTGACTAAGTGGCCTTTTGGCTCTGCCCCTCGAGCGCAGCCCTGCCTCTCGCCCCGGCTGATTCTTTTGTTTTTGTGCTTCATTTAACAGGTCATTTTTTTGCATGGCCTTGGAGACACGGGGTGAGTATCCCAGGGGCCGGCTCCGGCTCTCACGCGGGGTTTGCTGGCTGCGAGCGCCGGCGCCGCTGTGCCCAAGGGCAGCTCTGAGGGGTGTCTGGGGCGTTGAGCTCGGCCTCGCTGCTGTGCCTGCACCACGCTCGCTGCATTGAATATGTATGATCCCAGCAGCCTGGCAGCCCCCCAGGGGTTGGATGTTCTGCTTGCTTTCAGGCAGGCAGATAGGTGCTGTGGTTCTCCAGTCCTCGCGAGGGCTGGCAGTTGGGTAGTGTCTGTGCAAGTGCATCTCTCTGATGTGCAAGGCCACTTTAGAGGACGGTGGGAGATAACAGCAGTAGCACAGGACATTCTCCCTCCTCTCTTGCTGATCGCAGCTCCTCTGCCGGAGCTGCAGGGCCTCTGCCCTGCTGCAGGGGAGATGTGTGCCGGGGTCCACGCTGGGATTCAGGCGGCCCGGGTGGGCAAC